TGTTGTCATATCATCCAAACAAAATATCCGAGAGATCGAAATCGATATTGAAATATCTTTTGATATCCACTACCACTACTGCAGAGAAATATATTCGAGTTGTCGATTGTAGGTTGAATCATTGGAGTATAAACAATCTCTAGACAACGAAATGTCTCAATCTCAAAACCATTTGCACCATTACAATTTCACAATAATCCAATATATTTCATAAACATAGCAACATTGCTTTGTTGACCCGTTTCACATGGAGCTGCAAAAAGTCAATCTAGGTTAGAATTGATTTGTCAGAAATCATGTATCATTCATCTCTGTCTGGAATAGTCTTGTTTCAGTATTAGGGATTTGACGTCACATCATCGCCTCGTTTTCAGAGGTCCGAAAAATCGGGGATTTCAATAATTTTTTATAAAACGTAGGGAAGAAACGGTTTGCGGTGGTGAGCTAGTTTGGGTGAGTTCTATCGAATTATGAAATAAAATTTTTTTGTGATATAAGCCCATTACAAATCGTGTCAGTTTTACAGAATAATCGATAATAAAAATAATAATAATAACGAAACAGCATAAAGGCTGACGTCGCCATTTAATCGACGTATCGCCAAATAGTGGCAATGACGGTACGTTTGAAATGAGCTCCGAAATTCAACAATTGTAGTGTAGTAATTGAATGCCAATAATTTATTATAAGTCCACTCGCCCATTGAAGATATGGTGGAGTGAGATGTGAGATCAGTGATCAGTGCTCGGAATTGAATTTCTCACGAGTTTCTCAGCATATCGATAATATTTTAATTATTTTGTTACATGACTGATCACGAAAAGTATTTCATGATGAGAGAAGAAATTCTCCATAATGGTGAGTTTCTTTACGTATTCCTATTTCATATATCATCATGACGATTCTTCTCATATTCATTGTATCACTTACTGAAATTCAAGTAATTTCAAAAATTTCTTCAAAATTTATATTTTTTATGGCAGTTGTTTGCAGAAGGCAGAACTTCGGTCGATAACCATTTGAACATTGTTGTTCAATGAAGTACGTTCATTTATATTATTATTATTATTATTGAAAGAATAACAACTAAGTCGTAGATCGAGGAAAAGACTTGTCATGAATAAACTATAAAGCGTCCATTTTCCAGTAATAGAAGAATATGTCGTGTTTCAGCAACGAATTTTAAAAGTTTTCATATATATTTCAGTTTCTTATCCCATGTAACTTCCATGATCTCAATTCTCGATATATTTAAAATTCGAGATATAATACCAACTATGTTTCAAATTGAAGAAACGACGTGTTATTAGTTGGGGGAAAAATTGCACAGAAGAGGATTCCAGACAAGAAACCAGCGACCAATAATAAGTTTTTCATTCCTATTACGAATTATATTCAACTCATTTCGAATATTTCTTCCAAATTTATATTAGTTATGGAAGGCGATGTATCATACAAAATTTTACATTACACCTTTATGTCTCAATGGAGACACGACAGGTACCCTTACGAGGGGAGAGTATCAACCCTTGGCATCGGTAAACCCTCGTTGCAACCGGGGTTGGCGCCTGATGGGTTAGGTATACTTATACAGAGTTTCTCATTAAGGAGAAAATTGTTGACTATCTGTTGCGTTCATTTTTTGGGTAATAGAAGAATATGTCGCCTTTCACCAACGGAAATTGAAGAAGTTTTTATATATAATAACTTTATTTTTTTTTTTCAATTAACAACAAATTTCAAATTCGAGATTTTAATACCAACTATGTTTTAGATCGAAGAAGCGACGTGTCATTATTCGACGGAACAATTGCACAGAAGAGGAAACCAGACAAGAAACCAGCGACCCATGATAAGTTTTTCATTCCTATTACGAATTATATTCAACCCATTTCGAATATTTCTTCCAAATTAATATTAGTTATGGAAGGCGATGTATCATTCAAAATTTTTCAATAGTCACCTTTATGTCTCAATGGAGACACGACAGGTACCCTTACGAGGGGAGAGTATCAACCCTTGGCATCGGTAAACCCTCGTTGCAACCGGGGTAGGCGCCTGATGGGTTAGGTATATACAGAGTTTCTCATTAAGGAGAAAATTGTTGGCTATCTGTTGTGTTCATTTTTTGGGTAATAGAAGAATATGTCGCCTTTCACCAACGGAAATTGAAGAAGTTTTCATATATAATAACTTAAATTTTTTTTCAATTAACAACAAATTTCAAATTCGAGATTCTAATACCAACTATGTTTTAGATCGAAGAAGCGACGTGTCATTATTCGACGAAACAATTGCACAGAAGAGGAAACCAGACAAGAAACCAGCGACCAATGATAAGTTTTTCATTCCTATTACGAATAATATTCAACCCAATTCGAATATTTCTTCCAAATTAATATTAGTTATGGAAGGCGATGTATCATTCAAAATTTTTCAATAGTCACCTTTATGTCTCAATGGAGACACGACAGGTACCCTTACGAGGGGAGAGTATCAACCCTTGGCATCGGTAAACCCTCGTTGCAACCGGGGTAGGCGCCTGATGGGTTAGGTATATACAGAGTTTCTCATTAAGGAGAAAATTGTTGGCTATCTGTTGCGTTCATTTTTTGGGTAATAGAAGAATATGTCGCCTTTCACCAACGGAAATTGAAGAAGTTTTCATATATATAATAACTTTAATTTTATTTCGATCAACAACAAATTTCAAATTCGAGATTCTAATACCAACTATGTTTTAGATCGAAGAAGCGACGTGTCATTATTCGACGAAACAATTGCACAGAAGAGGAAACCAGACAAGAAACCAGCGACCAATGATAAGTTTTTCATTCCTATTACGAATAATATTCAACCCAATTCGAATATTTCTTCCAAATTAATATTAGTTATGGAAGGCGATGTATCATTCAAAATTTTTCAATAGTCACCTTTATGTCTCAATGGAGACACGACAGGTACCCTTACGAGGGGAGAGTATCAACCCTTGGCATCGGTAAACCCTCGTTGCAACCGGGGTAGGCGCCTGATGGGTTAGGTATATACAGAGTTTCTCATTAAGGAGAAAATTGTTGGCTATCTGTTGTGTTCATTTTTTGGGTAATAGAAGAATATGTCGCCTTTCACCAACGGAAATTGAAGAAGTTTTCATATATAATAACTTAAATTTTTTTTCAATTAACAACAAATTTCAAATTCGAGATTCTAATACCAACTATGTTTTAGATCGAAGAAGCGACGTGTCATTATTCGACGAAACAATTGCACAGAAGAGGAAACCAGACAAGAAACCAGCGACCAATGATAAGTTTTTCATTCCTATTACGAATTATATTCAACCCATTTCGAATATCTCTTCCAAATCAATATTAGTTATGGAAGGCGATATATCATTCAAAATTTTACAACAGTCACCTTTATGTCTCAATGGAGACACGACAGGTACCCTTACGAGGGGAGAGTATCAACCCTTGGCATCGGTAAACCCTCGTTGCAACCGGGGTAGGCGCCTGATGGGTTAGGTACCTATATACAGAGTTTCTCATCAAGGAGAAAATTGTTGGCTATCTGTTGCGTTAATTTTTTGGGTAATAGAAGAATATGTCGCCTTCCACCAACAGAAATTGAAGAAGTTTTCATATATAATAACTTTAATTTTTTTTTCAATTAACAACAAATTTCAAATTCGAGATTTTAATACCAACTATGTTTTAGATCGAAGAAGCGACGTGTCATTATTCGACGAAACAATTGCACAGAAGAGGAAACTAGACAAGAAACCAGCGACCAATGATAAGTTTTTCATTCCTATTACGAATTATTTTCAACTCATTTCGAATATTTCTTCCAAATTAATATTAGTTATGGAAGGCGATGTATCATGCAAAATTTTTCAATAGTCACCTTTATGTCTCAATGGAGACACGACAGGTACCCTTACGAGGGGAGAGTATCAACCCTTGGCATCGGTAAACCCTCGTTGCAACCGGGGTAGGCGCCTGATGGGTTAGGTATATACAGAGTTTCTCATTAAGGAGAAAATTGTTGGCTATCTGTTGCGTTCATTTTTTGGGTAATAGAATATGTCGCCTTTCACCAACGGAAATTGAAAAAGTTTTCATATATAATAACTTTAATTTTTTTTCAATTAACAGCAAATTTCAAATTCGAGATTTTAATACCAACTATGTTTTAGATCGAAGAAGCGACGTGTCATTATTCGACGAAACAATTGCACAGAAGAGGAAACCAGACAAGAAACCAGCGACCCATGATAAGTTTTTCATTCCTATTACGAATTATATTCAACTCATTTCGAATATTTCTTCCAAATTTATATTAGTTATGGAAGGCGATATATCATACAAAATTTTACAATAGTCACCTTTATGTCTCAATGGAGACACCACAGGTACCCTTACGAGGGGAGAGTATCAACCCTTGGCATCGGTAAACCCTCGTTGCAACCGGGGTAGGCGCCTGATGGGTTAGGTATATACAGAGTTTCTCATTAAGGAGAAAATTGTTGGCTATCTGTTGCGTTCATTTTTTGGGTAATAGAATATGTCGCATTTCACCAACGGAAATTAAAAAAGTTTTTTTTTTTCAATTCTCAACAAATTTCATATTCGAGATTTTAACACCAACTATGTTTTAGATCGAAGAAGCGACGTGTCATTATTCGACGAAACAATTGCACAGAAGAGGAAACCAGACAAGAAACAAGGGACGCTACGCGTCCGAAGACAACAGAACCTGGAGCTAAACTCTACTATTTTTTTCCTTGTATGATAACAATTAATTTAATCATCTTCCTTGATACACATTTCAATTTTCGGCGATTGGTTTTTTCACCAAACTATACTTATTTTTCATTATATCATCACATCCAGAAAGCTGGGTACACATTTTTAACTCACCCTGTAGAATGAATAATTATATGATAGAAAATAAATCGTGAAGGTATAATTTACGGAAACAAATCCATCTACACTCACCGTTTTAACAGCAGATTTCATAGCAGGATTAGCCTTGAACATAAAAATGAATCGTCATTAAAAAATCCACACGATTCCGGAAAAACCAACTTCACCTTATCTTTGACGCTTTTGAAGAAAGCGCTTCCTTCTTTCTTCATCGTCGATGTCCATTCCTTGTACTGCTGCTTCAATTTGGATCCCGATTTTGCAGAGTAGCCTTCAAGTTCGAACTCGAATTCATCGGAAAATCCCTGGCCCGTATTCAACATCATCAGTCGCTCTTCTATGAACTAGAAATATTTTCGGAAATTTTCTATCTGGCTCTATGTAAATAAAAATAGACAATGGATGAGCAAAGCCTAGTTAAACATTTTTTTTATCAGCTCTACTATTCAATGGGTATTAGGAAACACTGTTTGAACGGATTTGATTTCAACTAATTCGTGCTATACCGGATGTCCCAGAGCTTGTGGGGGCAGAAGCTCTCCAAAACGATCAAATCACCCTTAAGTCAAACAATCTAAGAGAAATTACCCTTTTCTTTGGATTTTCAAATTACACCTCCATTGAAAAGGAATATTCTCAGATAAATTATGAACATCTGATGAAAATATCAATTCTTTTTCGGTTTATTCAACAGAACACAACAACTTTCCTGGCTATATGCCGCAACGAACATTGAATTATATCTATTGAGCACAAAGGATAAGAATTTGGAAACAAAAACCTTCTGAAGTTGAGAATTTGCATTCTCCTTCAGATAAAAATATGTATGCATATAATATCATTCTGAATATTCAACAGAAAACAACTACTTTCCTGGCTATTTGCCACGTCGAACATTGAATTATGTCTGTATCCAAAAGGAGAGCATGAAAAATAGAAATCGTCTGATATTGAGAACTGACATTCTCTCTTAAATAAAATCTGATCTTGATGCGGGCGAAACTTACAAAATAAAATCATTCCTATCAGTGATATGGGGATTATATCTCTCACAAAGACTTCTCCTATACATTACCAGTGAATCAAGTTTCTAGTAGGGTCCCTTGATGTAAATTTGTCATCTTAACAGGGTACGGACAAATCCTCGTCTCCTCTCACTCTTAAGGGTTTGTGAAACAGTTATATAGTTCCATCTATATTCATTTCGGCAGATAAACACTAGATTTCTGACATTTGTTGTGTTTTGGGTTATATTGAGGACATAGGGCAATCCAACGATCTACCAAATAATTTCAAAATGTCGTCTGGTTGGCAAACAAACCAAAGACAAGTTTGTTTACTTGAGAACTTTGTGAGTTTTGGAAGCCTTTTAGAGTGTTATTACATTGAGTTTTGGTTATATTTATTGTGAATAATGAGAATGACAGTAATGTGTATTGTGGTGGATTGTAGAAGCCGTGCAGATCGGGACCATTTGCTGTTTTGTCATATTCCTACTATAATACTGTGAAGAACTCTGTGCATTACCCACAAATGTTCCTATCATGGAAGTTATTTAGGTATAAAAGTAAACCAAATTTTCCCCATTTGGTCACTTCACTTTTCATGTTCTAAGTTCATTTGCATTTGATGGAAAGCTGACAAATTCAAATTTGCCATCCAACTGATTGATACAGCCTAACGCAGCACATTTTACCATCCTTCCTAAACAGAATTGAATGTATGAAATTAAAATGTTGTAAGATCTCAGGGAAAAAGGAGCTATGATCTCTCTGTACCCTGTTAGATGACAAATACGTCAGTTTGCATCAAGGCACCCTAGTTTCTAGTAGATTGTTTGACATACGATACCTATACAGCGTGTCTCCTTTCTCTAATTCAACCGACTCTATATTTACTTCCAATGGTTGGTTGAAAATCAACCGTCATTTCAACAATTCCACTTTTTATTCAAATTACACACCTGTTGGAAGATTTGTAAATGAAGCATTTCTCTTAGAAAAGGCTGCAAAGATGGTGGCCTCGTTTCAATGAACCGTTCCTCGTCAAAAGTAACTTTTTGGCCCGGCTGAAATTTGAGAGCATCCCTGTAACCTCCTATCAGTTGGACCAGCGCTCTCAGAAAAGCTCTGGACACTCCATCACCTAATTGTTTGTTCTTGAATTGCTTTTTTAAAAATGACACCTATAATCAATGTACAAATTATTACCGTGATTTTTTTGTTTAAGAAACTACTAACCACTTCTTGAGGAAGACTATTGAGGTCATCAAAAGGAGATTCGATTTTATTCGAATCAGCGTCTAATATCACAACATCTCCTATTTCACTTCTACGGACTTGCTACAAATCGAAAAATATTATGAAAAATTGTTATTGAATGTTCAATTGATTTTGCTTTTAATGGTTTATTTGGGAATGAACTAATTCTTTCACTTTCAACTTGAATATATCATGTATCAGAAGAAATATGAATACGTGAATCGTACCCAATTTTTTTTCACATGATTTTAGTGATTCCAGAAATTCAAATTTTTTTGCAGAAATATTATTGGAATTTATTATTATTCATTAGTATACAAGGTGTCCAGAAATTAGCCTTCCAAACTTTTCCTGCGGCATCTACGACCAAAAATAGGAAGAAAAGAGTCAATGAACATGAGTCGAGAAAAATCCTAAGGGAGTTACGGCCCTCTGAGACGGGAATCCTGAAGATGATATTTCTAGAATATTTATGGAAATATCAACTCCAGGAGCTACCATTCAGGAGGCCGTAGCTCTTTCAGGAGACATTTCGACTCATGTTCATTGAAATGTCTCTTCCTATTTTTTGTCATAGACGTTGCTGGTGAAGTTTGGTAGGCTAATTTCGCGACACCCTTGACACGCTTGACCAATTGTATTTATTTTAGGAACAATAAAATTTAGTGATACTAATAAGTTCAATCACATCCACATAAAATTATACACATAAATAATGAATCAATATGTGCTACAAATAGAAGGCTCACTGTGTGTTTTCGAATTTGTCACTCCGTTTTATAGCCCATTCTAGGTTTTCATCTTTTTAGAGGTATTTTAAACTTGTGAGAGCTCAAGAATGTCAACACGAGAACGATGGAATTAAATGCTCAGAAATCAGAAATTTTTGTAGTCAAGCTAGTATAATTTAGGTCAACCTAAATTGATAGCAAAAACATATACATGTTGTTTATCGAATCGTTACATATAGGAGTGTTGAGAAAGGTTGGCAATATCACAGTCACGGATGCGGTTCAGTTTCATGTTGACATTTACATGCCCTTTATGTAACAATTCGATAAACAATCTGTATATTATTAAACCAATAGCGTATACAAATCATAGTTTCAGTAGTACATCATCAGCAGTATATACCTATTGGGCCTATGGTATTGATAAAATGAAATGAAACTTTGATTTGGCTATAGAGTGAAAATCTGTTATATATATTCTGAGTTTGAAACCTTATTTCATTGTCTCACTTTATCCGAGGTAATTTAATACAATGAAAAATAAAATCAATCAGTATCTAAGAAAAACGGTAAAAGCAAACTATTGGAAGGAGTTGACAAGAATTCAATAGAAAGTCTAGATATGATTAAGAATCCCCTGTATATTCATTAAAGGTATCAAAAACTATTGTTTCAAAGTAATTTTTATTTGGAAGGTCATGAATGTATACCACTTCGGTGATCCACACTGTACTGTATGAAACAGTATACACGTCTGGCAAGAATAGAATTCCTATGGAGAAACCATGTGATAAAGTAAATACGCATTAGATTCATGGGCATTTTAACGAAGAGGACATTTTTCGACCCGACGAGAGGGATTATTGTTTTTTTTTCTTCTCTTCGTTGAACACCGATGAATATATACCGGGTGACACTGGGTATCGGACCTCCCCTGTAACTTCTGCATTCGTAAACGAATTTTTATTAAATTTCTAGAGAGATAGGTAGGTGGTCCATAGGGGTTCCATTTAAAAAAAAAGGATTAAAAATATAATTCATCAATGTGACACAATATGTATTTAACCAGCTCGGGTATTAATGAGGGCGATTAATGATCTAGATATTCTAACGTGCGAGCAAAGCGAGCGATTAATAATGTCGAACGCACAAAATTTTTCCGTCGACTATATTTCTCATTTTTCCTGCAATGAAGAAAACTCCGTTCACGAATTCAACATTCATCCGAAAACTACTAAAAATCACCTAGTAACCTTGTCACTGACAAGAGTGACATTTATCGAAATAATTAACATAGAAAATAAATTCGTTGTGTTGTAAAACAGGGATTAAAAACGTCACAGAAACTTGGAAAGGCTAAATCTTTTACGGAAAATCTTTGATGAAATCCATATTTTCGATTCAAATGCACATTACGTAAGTTATAGCATAAACAGTGTATGTTTAGTTGCCTATGCTACAATTGTTCATTAATAGACAAATAGTTCATTAATAGGGGTCATTAATGATCAATTTCATAAACATTGAACTTACTCGTTAATAAGAGGTCGACGGAAAAATTTATTTTCTTAGAAAAAAAATATTTCTCTGTTATGTGAATAGCCTTGACCAAATTTCATTTATCCATGAGGTAAAAAAAACAATTGAAATCTAAATTTCAAAAAACTTACATTTGACATAAAGATTTCACTTGTTATGACATATTATTGAATTCGAATAAGTATAAATATACCAGGGTGTTCGATTTGAAAAAGCAAAGCATATCTAGATAAACCGGAAGACCGCCATATTGTGTTGTAATGTGATCAAATCCGTAATGGTTGCTTATATTACCTTGCCAAATTTCACAAAAATCCGATTACGAATGCAGAAGTTAGAGGGGTGGCCCGGTACCCTGCGTCACCCGGTATATCTCTATAAGAAAATTATTCATGCCAGATGTGTATGTACGTTTACTTCATCATCCTGTAGTCGTGATCATACCTTGAACACTGCTTCAGGAACTCCAATGAGGAAAGGCATGGGGGCCAATAAATAGTCGATCAAAGACATCGGTAACACTGGTATGAAAATATGCTGCCATATCATGGGGTAAATGATATCGTTGGCGGACTGTACGCAGGCGCTCAACCTCTTCAACTTCGTTGAAGTGAAAATGATCCTCCTTTCGTAGAGCATGGACGCGAATATCACCATCATATTATGGGAATCGACTGCATTGAAGTATTCGGTTAGGTTTCTCTACAAATAGGAGAATACTTGGGTAGGTACCTCTAGGTTTACTCATTTTTATTTTATAGAATAGAAAACCTTAATTAAAGTTATTTTTGTGCCTGTCTGTAGATGGACCAATTCAGGTAATATTGAATCGTGCATTTTGATTGCGCAGAAGACTAAAACGTCAATGTCAATGTCATTCGTGGTCAAGTCACTGAATAGCAAAAAATCTGAGAGGTATCTCCTATGAAGTAATGAATTTGCGCCTTCAAAGTGCCCATCTGATGTTTGGTTAGATATTTGTCATTTTCATTACATTATCTAAATATTTTGAGACTCACCAGTTCCAAAAGACGTATTCTGATAATGTTTGCCAAAATATTTGTTTACTTGTCGAAATTTCACTTTTTTTTCAATGAGAAGTAGCCTATCCTTTTTTTATACATCTAAGAATATGTATACAAAATTTCAAGATAATCGGTTGAGTAGTTTGAGAAACTCCTCAGATTTTTTGTTCAATGCACATACAAAAATTAATGTAGGTTTTCAAACGGATTTCATAAATATTTTTTGTACAGCTATTACCTTTGGGTATACATAAATGAATATGAAATTACGATATTATAATTCGAATTTTGAAATTATTAAAAGTTATTCACATAGGTATATCTAGACAAGCAAACTTGCTTCCCCTTATTAAAATAAAATTGAATCTGAATCTGGTAAGATATTATCAGTTACAATGAATTGATACTTCACACTGAATTGCCAATAAGGCTTAAAATAATGTCAGCTCCAAAGAATTAAAAAAAAGGAATGAAGAAAAACTGTCGATTCATATAATTTGAAACCAATCAGAACGTTTAATTGAGCTAAGCTAACTCATATAATTTCAAATATACGTGAATATACATAGGGTAATTCCAGCGATCAGAAATTAAGAATTATTTCCATTTTTCGTATAGTTATCAATTCATATTGTTACATATACAAACAAAGCACGTTGTGCTTTGACGTTTGTTCAGAACTACTCAAAAAGTACTCACATCAAATACACGTCGAACTTCAAAATATTGAAGGTCATACATCTCAGTGTCAGTTAATCCTCCCGCTTCGTGGTCGGATTATTTCAACTGTTGAACTGACACTCTTTGTAATTATGCAACAAGTTATACTCATAGTATTACTACTGATCATATTTTGTCGTTTGGAAATAGTAAAGATGATTATAAGATATTAACAGAATATTTTCAGATCATATTTAAAAAATGTTTCAGTAGGGTGTATATACTGGTATTGGTACTGTTATGTATGTATGTTACTTACATTTTCAGGTATACTGGGTAACTGAAATGGTCTGGGAACATCAACTGAAAATGTCTGAAAAAAGGCATTGTGTAAAAACCTATATGAAACGAAAATTATAGATAGTACATACACTATCTCCCCTGTTGAAAGACACCAGAAATTTTCCTCCAGGTTCTAGTATTTTTGCATTATATACAGCTGATAAAAATTCTCTGAGGTCTTCAGTTCTAGAACTATGCATTAATACTGCTGTTGTATCTAAAAACCTAAAATTTTCAGAAAGAGATACTTTGAACTTTATTTATTAAATAAGGAATGGAGAATCTCTGAACTACAGATATTAAACACCCAAATATGAAGATTTAGCCCAACATGCCTTATAAAAATATTGCTGGTTCAAGAGATACAGGGTGGTTAAGGAAAAGATTATTTTTCAGAATAAATAAAATTATTAAAATGTTTATAATTTGATCATAAATGTCATCAAGAGTGAATAACACAAAAACAGTTGAAGTTAGACAATTTGATAAACAGTACATTTTTCATGTGGAATTGAACGAACTTTCAGATTTTCCACTTATTTTGATCATCAATGAATTGACATAGAAGATATTATATTATTCTCGATATTATTATCGAATTAACAGAGTACACTAGCGCCCTCTATGAGCAATAACAAAATTAGTTGCAAATTCATATTCCTCATGTCAGAAAACCTAGAAATACAAGATTTCATGTTCATGCTGTTAAAACTAACTAAGTTATTGTGATATTTCCAAATAATATCTCCTCCTAGAACACCCTGTATCTCCTAAACCAGCAACATTCTCATCAGGCATATTGGGCTAAATCTCATTATTTTTGTGTTTACTATCTGTATTTCAGAGATTTCCCATTCTTAATGAATCACCCTGTTTACTATCTGTACTTCAGATTTCTCATTCTTAATGAATCACCCTGTATAAAATAGGGTTGAACTAGCTTGAAAAGCCTTAATTGAGCTCTTTTCTACCTCAAACGAGGGAGAGGACAGTTCTCTCCTCTTCCATCTTTCTATTCAGTGCTACCAACGTGGCCGCATTGAAATAAAGAGAGATCCGATCAATCTTTCCTTGTCTAACGTCTACTCTGCGCCACTGAACTATTTTCTATGTTATAATTATGTGACATGTCTATGTCATAAATGTCATTGACTAATAACCTTTCGAATTTTTTAAATAATATTTCGAATTATATCATACTTATTTTGACATCATTTGTTGATATCGTTAAATTTGACTCTCTGCTGAATTCAGAAATAGTTCAGTGACACAAACTAGATGTTAGACAATGGCAAATTTATCGGACCTCTCTATGTTTCAATGCTGTATCATTGAAGAGAAACGAACGTTGTCATGGTAATGTAGGAATCTGTAAAAAAGTGTCACTTCCCAATCTTCCCATATTGTTATGAATGCAGGAACCTTGTCAATTATTGACGTTTGTAGATAAAATTTGTTTATTCAAATGTGATAGGGAATTGAATGCAAACATAGTACCTAAATAAAAATACTATCAAGCTCTTTAGTTGGTATAGCATCATACATATGTTCATACCTATTCAACTGGGAAAATCAAGATACAAATAAGAAAAATTGTATTAATCCAGATTAATCCATATCAATATTTATGATTTTCCATTAATTTTATCAACAGAAGGTGTTGACAACAATTAATACTCCCTGGTGAACAAATATTACTTTCACTATAATAGCATGACTAATCATATCTTTAACCAGTAATATTAGTAATATTAGAACTTTTACTACCTACCTGAGATTATGACTCAGACTCCTAGTCATCAGGAGATTGGGCTGGATGATCATGTTTTATATCTTCAAATAAACATAAGATATGTCTGTTTCCACATGAATATCTATTTGATATAGATAAGAACAAAATACACTAGCATTTTATCAATAGGTACCAATAAAAAAATGTCATGTTGACTTGGTAATACCTGTGAATTTTGCTGAAAATTACCTTGAAAAATTTCAATACCAGTATTTCTTTCTCTTCTTCTGGTTATTCAGAAGTAGGCCATATTTATGCAATATTTCTGGGAGTACCATTATTAACTAGGAAATACAGAAAATATTCAGGAAATACAATCAATAGACAGGAAATACAAGCAATATTGGGCAATAATAAGAAATACTTGAAATATATTCAATATTTCCTGAAAGTATTGCTGATTTGGCAATATGTTTTTCAACCATATTGGCTCACCCCTGGACCTAATGTATCAATGTCTGAGATAAGAATTAAATTTCCTCACAAGATAACTTATCATTAAATCTGTGATATAATAAATCAACTTAGTAGTGCAATAGTAGTGTCACATTCAAAATGGAAAACTCATTATCAAAACATATCATCAGTGAAGTAATTTTGTTTGTTTTATTTCAATAATTCATACAAGTACATCCCTATTAGGTCATTTCCAAGGTCATTTCTGTTGGCATGCATGGTCTAAAAATTTCAACCAACAGGAATGTCATTGCCATTGGTCAATGAATGGATCATTGTGAAACCTTGATTGTGAACAATAAATACTTACTTCCTGATTTTTCAGTGCATCTCATCTGATGTAGAATAATATATGGAAATATAAATTATCATTACATTACAAAATATTGTCATGGGATATTCCAAGAATTCCTAATATGAACTATGGAAACTTAACTCCCATATCTTATAAGTGACTTATATAATCCTTCCAGTGCAACTTTCCATTGATTAAAAATTAAAACATAATAGGTACATGGTGGTGACATTAAATACCAATTATTCAGGTACCTAACTATCTATAGGTACCTCATAATGTAGTCAGACTAGAATCTGGAACACTTCCAAACCAGAAAACACTTGAACATTTAATATCAAAACAGCCTGTTTGAAGACAATAATCCCCTGTTTATATTTGTTATATATTTCAAGTTCAACTAAGAATCTATCAAATCATCTTACTTGTAGAATCCTTGATGCCATGGCAGATAACTCAGTACTACTAGTGCTGTTTCTGATTTGGGATCATGTCTACAAAACCCAAATGTCCACTTTGATTCTATGTCCGTGAGCACAAAGGAATAGTGTTGTATAACATCACTTAAAAATTGAATTATTGTTCAATATTATAAGCATAAATCAAGGGTAAAAAATTATATGACATACTTATCAAATTTGTAGGGATAAGCAAATTTTGGTACAGTCCTCAAAACCTCTAGATCTTTATACTTTTCTGGAAATTGCTGAATTATCCATGGTTCAGTGTCCCCAGTTGGTGGTACAACTTCGCAAAAACATTCGAAAAAGCGTTTCACATTCTCCCTAGAAGGGGGTATCAAAGGTGATGGACTGCATAGGCTTTTTTATCTATTTTGTAGAACTCACCTTATTCTGGAACCCATGACATATAACTATTCTGGTTTCTTTATTCCATCGTGATAAGGAAAACTTATGAAACCAGAGTTATCAGGAATTCCTGAATATTCATAAACATACACATATTGTTAAAAAACATAAAAACACTTCTACTTGCAATTTCTCCTATCTGTCGACAAACAACAAAACAACCAACACCACACCAATAAAAGTCAGAGTGCAGATTTGCAGAAAAACAGTTTGTCAGTGTCACGAACACATGTAGAAATGTCAACTTAAATTCTTCTGTGCTTATAATTTTACCAGTGTCACAACTTCATTTATTAAACTTCTTCTTCTCCAATTTTTATGTAATGTCATTGTACTGACGTGGGGAAGCGCTGAACTCAGAGTGATATTTACGTTAGCAACAGAAAATAACCTTGTTGATGTTCATATTTATTTGAATTTTGAATATTGCAATTTATAATGCGATTGAGATCAAATATTTTACCGAAATCTTTGAAAGATGCATGCGTCACTGGATTTGTGTTCGCCATCATTCCCCTGATATACTACTTTGAACTATTCATAGTCCTGCCAAGATATCACAAGCAATGGAGCAGTGTGTACAATTGTCATTTCCTTACCGGAACCTTCATATTGTTCAACATTTGTGGCAATCTAGTAGCGATAATGATGTGCGATACTAGCATCAAAGGAAGACTTTTGCCCTCAGAAATGAAGCAAGATTGGAGATTTTGTACAGTGTGTGAATCACTAGCACCTCCAAGATCCTGGCACTGCCAAACATGTAATGTGTGTATTCTGAAGAGGGATCACCACTGCATGTTCACCAGTTGCTGTATTGGTCATGAAAATCACCGGTATTTTGTTATCTTCGTTTTTTACATGTTCATTGCTACAATGTATGCTTCATACTACAATATCTCCTTCCTTTGGGACTACATTACTTTTGATTCATGGAAATCTATTTTCAAAATTGTGTTTCCCTTGGCAACTTTGTTCATGGAGTGGACTGAGAATCAGTTGTATGTGTTTTTTATATTGATAGTGTTGTTGGGTGGGGCCTTCACTGGAGTTTTATTGTATTTCCATGTTGATTTGATGCTGAGGTGCAAAGTTACACATGAACGTAATGCTGAAAGCAAATATGGTAGAGGACTATGGGAAAATATCAAGCTAGTTTTGGGTGATACCTACTACCTAGTTTTGCTGTCTCCCTGGGTGAAAAGTGAACTTCCTTGTGATGGTGTGAACTGGGATGACTGGCAATCTTCAAAAGCAAAATAGTTGGCAATTTGAAAAGAGACATAACCATCACAGTTTTATGAAATGAATGATATCACAATAATTAGTATTGATCTGGATATTGATTGATTGACATTGTCTATTTGTTGTGCTGTTTCTCAAATAAAATTGAGATTTGAGTTGTTGTGTAAAGATTGGTAGGTAAATAATTCAGCTATAGATGAGGTGACTTATTTTCCATTATACATGTACAAAGGATAGATAATTTGAAATAAGTAGAATACAACAAATATTTATTTAGATTTTAATCTCTGTTTTTTATTATGTATAAAAATAGCAGTATTAAAAAATTGTAAATATCATGTATAAAGTAGGTCCAACACAATTTTATAATAACTATAACATCATTGTAGTTTTACCTAAATGATGAAAAAATGTGGTATGCACCTTTGGAGTTGTTTCCAACTTAAAAATGTTAATTTTCTATTACAAAATGGCACTAATCACTTTCACACAAGTGTTCATACTCAGTTATAACATATTCAAGCATTCAATTCAATTTGGCACTAATTTCAAAAGAGTGTTACACATATTTTAAACATATCTAAGTACATCATTATTGCTTTGTGTAAAAACATATAAATTCAAATTGTTATATGTGGCAAGTCAATGTACATGAACATAAATTTTCCATAGCTAAAAGTGTGTGGAAAAACGATTTTTCTTCAGGGGTCACTAACTTATTTTTACAAGAAATATTTTCAATAAAAATCACATATATTGTTATCTTCTTACTTTTGACCTATTATTCAAAATACTGCTTCCTCCTGTACAATATTTCTGCTAGGCGGTACTGATCTCGTTTGTAAGAACTGGATGAGATTTGCTTTCTCATGTTCAAGTGCAGATATCCTTTCACTTTTTTTACTCACCTCCTGAAAAAAAAAAATCAATGTTTCATCTGAAATATGGTGTATCTTCATCTGAAATACTGTGTATCATGTAATTTTTTTGTTTACTAAATCTGTCTAATAGTATAGTAATAGTGGTTTTCACTTTTAATAATTTTATCTATAGATGCACGAATCTTATTGGTTGTCGTCCATTAGAGCACCTCTGACGACATCTATGAACATTTCATTGAAACTCTACTCGGGTACTCGCCATTGTTGTGACTTGTGACATGATATCAGCTGTATGTGTTGTGTATATTGTGATATCAGCCTTGTTGTTGGTAATGGTAGAAAAACACGTGCTTTCATAAGTGTCAAACTGTGTAAAAAACAACAAATATTGAATGATTCATCAACAGTAGGTAAGTGAATTGATTATTTCATGATTTGAAATATAGAAATTACTTTGAATATCACATATATTGTAGTTACAATCGATTTTTTTTAACGTCCATTGTGATGGACAAATACTCTTCAGATGTTGAAGTAGGTATATATGTATTAAATTATATAATGATAACATTGGGTTGATAAACTAGACTATTTATTGGGCTTATATGGATTGGCCCTTACGAATGATTATACATTTATACATGATGAGAATACATGTCATCGATCTAGCCTTGGCCAGTTCTTGATGGTTAGAGTACAAGAAACAAGCTGAACGCCTTGGAGTTCCCAAAAAGAATGTTTTGGATCTCTTAGCATTCCGGCACAAAGTTGCTGAATTCCTCATTCTACACAAAGAACCTCCACGACGTGGACGAACGCGTTTTGGTACTAAACAATGAAGTGAACCAAACTCACGTTGAAGTAAAACCGCCTCGTGAATTCAGATTCGATGGTTATGGTCATTATGCCGAATTTGACGGGAAAAAAGAAGCTGGGCGTTGTAAAAACGGAGTGTGCAACATAAAAGTTCATACGTTTTGCATCAAATGTAACCGGGTGTTCCACTAAGAAAGGACGCCGGCTGTATCTCTACTATTTGCCGCACAGGTTTCGGAAAAAAATATTTATGATAAAAGTGGCCAAGAAAAATCTCTGGAAATTATTTTCAAGTTTCCAGGACAGCCGCTAGAGGGCATAATTGCATTGGCCAACTTAAAAAACGGGTTTTTATGAAAATTTGATATATCAAGACATATCAGAAACACTTTTTCCATGTTCTCGAGTTGATTTCTAATCATTTCGATAAAAAAAAAATCGCGCTAGCTCTTTAAATAAAAGAGGGAGGGAAGGATGAATAGTAGGTACTCTGAAAAAACTTTAATTACTACAGTTTTGTGTAACGGAATTAAAAGCGATCTTGGTCTCATTACGAAGGGTTTTTTCAGATCTTCTCGATAAACCACGAATCAAGTCGATTTAAATCCCGTGGTGGCCGCTAGATGGCATCGTTTGAAAAATCATCAGATTCGCCTTTTTTTTCGAGAATTTCAAATGGAACCATCATATATTTTTCCTGCTATGATATGAAAGTTGAGTAAACGAGAAGAAAAATGGTGAAAACTGCGAGTTAATACCTCTTGAAGAACCGGAGAAATACTCAGAATAATATTAAAATTTAAACTGTTAGCATGTCAAATGCCTCCTCAATCGTTCGTCAATCGTTAACGGCATTTTGACAAATAGGCAATCCACAATGAACAGTGAAAACTTCCAATGGAACTTCAATTATATTTTGACGTTTCATTTCATTCAAATTATATAGCTATGTCATTAATAAGAGTCTCCTTCACTATTGTGAGATATAACAGAGCAGTTTGTGAAACCAAAATAAATGAATTATTGAAATTGAAATCATAATTTCATAGATACAGGATATTTCTGATTACGATTATTGAAGTTAGATTCCTGTGGTGAATATTTTCATAATATTATTTCCAGTATTTCAAGTTCCTCAAGAGGTATCAATTCGTGGTTATCACCAGTTTCCTTCTCTTTTGCTCCACTTTCATATAAGATAGTAGAATGAATATATGGTTTCATTTGAAATTTTCGAAAAAAATGGAAAATTGTCTGATTTTTCAAACGATGCCATCTAGCGGTCACCACAGGATTTAAATCGACTTGATTCGTGATTCATCTGGAAGAACCAAAAAACCCTTCATAATGAGACCAAGATCGTTGAATTCCGTTACACCAAACTGTAGTAATGAGAGTTTTTCAAACTACTATTCATCCTTCCCTCCCTCTTTCATTTATAAAGAGCTAGTGCAATTTGGAAATCAACTCGAGAACATGAAAAAAGTGTTTTTGATATGTCTTGATATATCATATTTACATAAAAACCCGTTTATTAAACTTGACATAAATAGTTGACTCTGTACTGGATCTTGTCTTGGATTTCAATTTTTTATCACAATTGACTCAACTACCTGAAATTACTTTGTCCATTGAGGTGGACATTTCAATTTTTACACAAAAAAACAAATATATTGTTCTCTTTCACATAGAAAATTCATAAAAATATAGGTAATGAAACAGGACTATAGGAAGAAAATTTTCTTTCTGTACGTATCTTAAGAATTCGGCCCCGAAAGGGTTAAAATTTTCAAAAATATACCACCACTTGTGTAATTACTGTTGATAATGGGGGAGTCCACTGATTTTTTAAAATCACATTATCGTGAACTCTATACTAAAAAACTACCAGCGAATTAATTTTGAATTTTGTCATTCATGCTAAGACGATGAAAATAATAAATTAGAATATGTCCATTTCAAAACACACAATTCATGCGCCATTTGAAATTTAGTCAATTCATTGGTGTGACTGGTGCGACGTCTTATTCCCAACACGCCTATTGTCCTTGAACTGACCAATCACACTGCAACACTTTAGAATGACGAGGTATCAGAGAGAGATAGCTACAGTTCGGGACTAATACGTCACGACTCCACCATCATATTTGGCTGTTTGAAATATCGAATGAAATATGCTGATTTCAAAACGATATAGATTCGATTCCCTTCAACTTTAACTCATAATATTGATTATACATCAAACGTAAATCATGATTCGTCGATTGAAAGAGGTTTGCACGGATTTCTTCTCTCAGTGGTCTTCCCCATTGTCAGAGTAGCAGCAGGTGGGTTTCCATCTTATCGAAAAATCAAGAAATAAAAATACTCCATATTTTCCCTACTTCTGTGAGCAGCCTGTTCTGCTGCTTCAGCCTGCCGGTTATGTCTTGGGGCGGGTGGTGCGCCTGCGGGTAGTGGTGCACCGCAAGGTTCATGTGCAGGGGCAGTCCGCCCCGCTCCCAGCTCTCGGTCAGGGTGGCCAGGTGCCGGTTCACCTCGAGCACCCTGGCGCGCTGCAGCTCCAGGCGTTCTTGCTGGGCTTCCGACCAATGCTCCTGCAAAATTACAGGCTGAATATTTCTCTCATATATGAAATGTCACATAAGGACATTAGTTGCGTTTTATTTGTTCCATTGTGGTAACGGTGGTGGGAACAGAATGACGTTTACAAATAAAACGAGAAACTTCATGACCTGGCATGAGAGAGAGAATTGACATATTATTATAGATAAAGAAGGTTATATTTATATATTGGGGCCTTGGGGCTCCGAATTATTTCAATGATGTTTATTTCATCAATATCATAATGATAGATTTAAAAATCAAGAAGATGAAAGTGAATCAATGTATATTTGACGCAGTGATTGTGGTGGAATTGTGGTGTGCTTGGAGAAGATTCTCTGAGATCGAGATGAATCATTTTATCTGGGAATGAAAATATGAAACCTCTATCTTACTTGAAAGAATCATAACCTCGCTATAGGTAACAATGCGAATTACAAAGAAACACCATTGGTTTTGCCAGGGGACTCTTATTTCACAAAACATTTGCAATATTCATCACATTTTATCGAGGAGTAAATCTCCTTGGAAGTCTGGTGTACACTTCGTTGGGAATAATTTATGGTTATTGAACAGAATTATAGTTAATAATATTATGGAGATTGCATATAAACAAATTACCACCATTTTGATTGAAAATCAGGCACCAACTTCTTGATTACTAGAAAGAAAAACGGGAGATCCTTTTAGTGAGCTATAATATTATATATACATGTACCTGAAAGCGTATGGATCCGCATATAGTACCAATACATATATATACATGGTGAGTCATGAGGAACTGTACACATAGTCCTATCACCAATAGAGGCCCTTGAGGGGAATACCTAATGTCCATCAGAAAGCGTCTTTTTCACTTCTTTTCCAATTTCAAGCAATGACAGCTCAGTCTAATAGATAATTAGATGAGCATTATTTCACAGGAAATCAGATGGCTACAAGACGAAGAAATCGAAAATGCCGCTGTTATCTATTGTTACACCCGTAAAAAAATTATAGTGTATAACTTGCACGGAATGCTAATTTCCCACTCGAATGATTGATGCATTCGCCTCTGGCTCATGCTGCAAACTTCATTCTCGTAGAAAATCACTATCATTCCGTGCTCGTTAAATAATATACTATGGTAACAACGCTAGTTTTCCAGTTTCTTTAATTTTGCGATCGCCTTTATCAGTAATCTTTCATCTCCCATCGAGAATTTTATGAGGGTCACCCTGTACAAGCGATGCCTACGAAGATGAACCAGCAAGTAGGTTAGCTGCTTAGTTTATTTTCAAAACATACTCGTATTACAAGATACCCATACCTCGGCCACACGTATAACTGGATTTTCCCGCCTAGTACAATGTCCTTTTTGATCAGATATTACCGTTAGAATTCATCAATCTAAATTATTATGAGGAATAAAAAAATCTATTTCAATTGTCTTGGAACGTTCAGTATAAACCTATTACGACATTTTTATTATTTGTATAAATAATACCACATAAAGTGAATGTAGAATGAGTTTTGGACTCATAACTTTTATTCATTTTCTTCGTCCAATCCCAGCGTGGTAATCAGTTGAAAGCACGCGATTGTGAATTGCTCAAGTGAGAACAAACGTCTAATGGTTTTCTGTGTAATTTATCTGGGAAGTAGTTTCTCTTAATCTAAGTGGGTTACTAGTAAGTGTGTGAATTCAAGTGAAAAGAAGAGACCCACAATCATTATTTCCATTAAAATATGCCAAATTAGTGGATATGAAATATACAATCGTGAGACCTATAGTCTTACTCGAGACAGAAAAAAAAATTCGTAAAATTTTCAGAAGCTCTCAATCGGAAATAGCAATCAGAAAGAGCAACATTAATTAATAATAAAAAAAGTTTTCTAGCAGGAATTCCAATGTAAGTTAAGTAAATAAATTTTTCGACAGTGCCTATAATAGTGTACCCCTAACTTACTATAATTTATGTGATTATAACTAGATATGTTTATGAGTTCCGATTAATGAATTTTCTAGCTTATTTTGTCTTATTTTTACTAAAAAAATAGTTTTTTTTTCTTCGTCTATCCTACCCCGATACGACGTTTTTACGAACTTTATCGGCTTATATCTCAGAAACTAAGCATACGAAACTTTTTAAACTCAACATTAACATAGTTAAATTTCCGCCAATTCGACCGAGAGCCAATTTCCCATGTTGTGCGGGGATTTGATATTTTTAATAATGAAAAAGTTAAGGATGAGCCACCTAAGAGAATCACCCAGTATTCTATATTTACTCCCTGCGAGAATCAACAGCTTTTCCTGGTCTACAAAGCACAGATACGGCCTGTTCTAGAATATTGTTCCCACATATGGGGTTCAGCACCCAAACATACGCGCGCTGATGCTATTAGATTCCATCCACAGACGAGCTATTCGCCTGGCGAGTGATGCCACACTCACTAACTCTCTGACATCATTGAAACACCGTAGGAAGGTCGGCGACCTTCCACTTTTCTATCGATATTTCCACGGGAAATGTTCTTCATAAATCTCTGCTAACTTTTTATCACTATATATAGCAATACCAGTCAGACGAGCTCGACAAGCCCAGTCAGCACATTCCTTCGTCGTCAACCTTGAGATATGTCGAACAAACCATTACCAAAACGGTTGTCTATAGAACAACAAAGCTTTGGAATTCTTTGTCAATGGAAGTAATTCCCAAGAACCTATATTATCTCCAAGAGAAAAAAAAATTCAATACCTACCTCCTCTCCGTATGCTCCCTAGGTATATACGCACAATGTTCTCCGAAAATTATACAGTGCTTTTCTTTAATGTCCCCCCTTCCTCTTACTTTTTTGAACGGATCACCTGAAGAAAAAATTTATATTCTAGGGTAGTGGAGTATTCGTAAGTTCGTAAGTAGCTTCAAAAAGACGTGTCACAAGACCCACTTTTGTATTTAATTTTATTTTCCTAGATGGCACCCATACAGTCACCATCTGGAAATTTTCATATGTCAATGATCTCACTGTGCCCAACATAAGCTTGTCAGGAGTAACCATACCTTCGAAGACATCCATTTCGATGCTTGGTATTACTATCAGCAATAACCTTTCTTGGGAAAATCACGTGAGATTAATTGCTAAAAGTGCATTCCAAAAACTTGGTTTTCTGTTTCGGGCCAGGAGCTATTTCACTTCCAGTCAGCTGCTTATGATCTATAAGGCACAGATCCAACCTGTTCTGGAATACTGTTCCCATATTTCGAGTGCAGCATCCAAACATACCCTGAAACTGTTGGATTCTGTCCAAAAAAGGGCAATTCGTCTCGTGGGTGATACCTCGCTCACAAACTCACTTCTCGGAACACCGTAGAAAAGTTGGCGATCTGGCCCGATTTTGTAGATATTTTCATGGACGATGCCCTTCTGAAATATCAACAATTCTTCATCTCTTGGCAGTCCCCGCGAGATTAACTCGTCGAGTTGAGGCTTCGCATCCCTTCGTGGTCACTTTGGAGACCTGCAGAACATCTCTTTCCAAAGACTCGTTCATCCAACGATCAACGAGGCTCTGGAACACATTGCCAAGGAAGGTGTTCCCCGAGGCATATAACCTTCAGAAATTTAAGTAGAACACCAATTCCTACCGTATTTTCCTTGGACCTCACGATGTTCTCTGAACATTACAGGATATCCCTTTTCGTGGGAAGCAGAACATAAAAAGAATATAGTTTCAATTCTTTCATTTGACCCGTGCACAAAATTAAAGGGGGAGCATTGAAGAAGAGCAAGAATGTATAGGGATTCCCATTCGTGGGCCTCAAAAGAGATAAAAAAAATCTACAGGCAGCAGTTTTCGCTCTTAACTCACCACATGCCCCATCCTGCCCAGGTACTTCATCTTCTCTTGCACCACGGCCACCTGCTTCAGGTACCACTCTCGAGCCTTCTCAACCGCTGCCAGGCCCTGCGTCAACACCTCCTTCTCCTGCTCGATCTGCTTCATCCTCTTCAGCATGTTGTAGTCGATGCCGTTCTGCAAGGTGTGTCGACGAGGTTCTCTTCGTCTTGCATTAGGTTTCTTCTGATAGATTCCACCCTGCAAAGTTACAAGTACATTTTCGGCATCAGCACCTTATTGAAATCATATGATAGCAATAACGACTTTGCTGAAAGTGAATTTCCTGCCACAGGAAGGTATACTGCTGTAGCTGCCAGGCAGCCACTCTGGGATAGCATGATTTTTTTTATAATTGTCTAGCTGAACTACTACTAGTGAGTTATGTGCTGTGAGGTTCATCTCATAGAACTGCACTCACTACCAATAATACAACTATCAGTCTACCACGAAAATTATATTTGACGAACCTACTTAAGGTTATTTATAGCCTACTTATCGTTATTCGATATTTTGCTGATTTGTCCCCCTTTAAATAAGCATTTTTCATCCTGCTTTCATCTTGCTTGATCAATCATTCACAGTTGGGCTCTTGATGCAAACCCATGTATACAGGACGACAATCTCGACGTCACGACAGTTACGAATACTTCCCCTCTTGAATTCAATTCATTATTTAAAATCTGAATCTGAATTCTAATATAAAATGGAAACATTTTTAAACAGTGTGTCCCTTTCAGTGCTTTCGTAGATCTGAGTGCTTCAGTTATTACCAGGGTTGATGGAATGATAAAGGTGAGTTTTTCGAGGTATTTCGACTGAAATTCAAATATTTTACATTCAACATTTACTTGTCTCCGAGATTGTCCCATTAAAATTGTAAATTGAATCGAGAAATAGGACTGACAATTCAAATCAATTCAAAACCAGAAGAAATATTGCAAATGTCGCAAATCAACTGGAGTGAAATAATTATTGCCAGCTTCAAATAACGAAAATTTTGAATAGTTTTGAGTTGAGAAGCTGATTGCGATACCTGATTTTAAGTTGAAACGAAAGTAGAAGTGTGATAAATAATAACCAGTTATTTAGTGAATGTATTACTCACATCCGGTTGCACAGCAGCTTTGCCATCCCCCATACTTCTCCCAGTCCTTAGCAACCCCCCACCGTACTGCTGCCCCTGCCGCTTCTCCCCCCCTTTGTTCTCCTGATCGCTCAACATCAGTCCCATCTGCCATTGCTGCAGCGCCGTCCTGATCTCCGCCCTGTCCAAATTTCCGCCCCTGTCCAAATTGCCGCCCCTGTCTAAGCCGATGGCAGTCCGGGGCGGTTTGGGCGGACCGTAAAGGGCAGGTTTCACGTTCGGGACGGATTTCTCCATTGGCTCGGTGTTATTCGTGGGGGGGTCCTTGTTGGGGGGCAGGAGTTGGGGCATGGAGAGGGTGCGCTGTTGCGAGATGACGTTGGGCCTGACGGCGGCGGTGTTGCTCCAGCTGGACTTTAAGGGGTGGTCTACGTCGAGAAGGGGGGCGGACGGGGGGCGGTTGTGGGGGTGGTCGGGTTTCCTCTCGATTTGGTTCTGGGGGTGGGGAAAATATGGATATATGGTGGACCATGGAAATTTGTCCAGAAAAAGTGTTGAACACTATCTTGGTACTATTTTGAAATATAAATTGACGGGTGGAATATAACTTTACTATACTAACGTTGATTTTCAACAGTGTTCCGATGAGAAAACGATTCAATACTAAATCGTCTTTTTCAGTTTTGACAAAAAATAACGACTTCTCCTTGGAAACTGACGACTTTTGGCCATGAAACATTGCATTACAGAATTTTTCAATTTCTTGATGCACTGCTTTGGTTGAATAACAGAGAATTTACAAGATTGGTTTTATGTGATGAAGTTATGTGAAGTTGATCACACTGATGAAAAGGAGAATTTTAGTTGTGGTTCACTGTTCTCCAGGTATTTACGGGCCTTCACAGCACACCTCAATACGAACTTTTGGTATTCATAGTAGAAAAAAACAGAAAACGTTTTCAGTTCTCACATCATATTGATAAAACTTTGCCTTAAAAACAGTTAATAATGTAGGTACCATGAAAAACGATTTGCATATCAATGCTCTGTCAAGAGTTTATCAATATATATAGATATTTTACCGATATAACCAATATAAACAGGGTGTCCCAACTCTATTCAAATAGTTATTTTCATGAGAACTGTTCAGATAATTGTGTACGTACAAGAAAGTATTATTAAAAGAACCCCTATATCAGAGATTGCCACTAACATACAAATAGAGAATTGTGGGTCACTTACCTATATTTACCCCTTAGGTATCGCCTCGGGTATCGCCCTGCTTATATCTTAGTAGGTGATCCCAGTTGAGGATTCATCAACACACTATTATTATTATTTTATTTGTTATTTCTTTTTAGTTTGGCTATACCCTCGGCTATACCTATAGAAGATTGTTTCTTTAGTTTTTCTACCATTCATTTCCTACATCTTTTTAGTTTACACGTAAATTTCCAAATTTTGGCGAAAGAATCATAATCTCTGACCCCGCAATCCTCCATCAGATACCAATTTTGAATAGCATCGAATCATAATTACAAAACTCGTCCGCCACATTGGATCCGTCATCTTGAATTTCCTAATTTTGACGAAGGAATCATAATCCCTCATCCCGAAAATCTCTAGATAACAATTTTGAAAGGAATATCGGATCATAATTACAAAACTCTTCCACCATATTGGATCCGTCATCTTGAATTTCTCATTTTTTGAATTGACTCGGCCGTTACTTGATGGAAATCCATGACAAATGTAAAAACCTCACAAACGATAAGATTTCCACAAATTTCTCGAACACACGACATGTTTCGCTAACACAGTAGCTTCGTCAGGTGATATACTGGTACAATGAACTGAGTTCTCTAAGCAGAAATACTATCCATTCCGAATATTTCGACTCAACATTCTGCTGAAATTGCTGAGCATCAGAAGGTAGTGTGGCTTCAGTGAACTGTCATTATTTCAGAGGGGGAAGGAATGTAACATTCATTCCCGTTGTTAATGATATTATTTTCAATATCAGAAAATACCTGTTATAAAAATAATGAACGCTGAGAATAATATGGAGTATGAAATAGTAGAGGTAACGAAAGAAGAAGCAGCATTGGCTTAATAAATAACAAAAAACACCTAAATCCATCATAATTAACGCCATATTACGTTTCCCATGAATCTTTCAACTCTCAATCTGGTTCATCATGGAAAATGAATGGCAACCAAATGCCTAGGTATTCTTCATCACTCGATTTTCAATCGTCATCGTCAACAATCGTAGAAACTATAGAGGCTACAAGAATCGATTGCTCTGCCATGTTAAATATTAAATTTCCAAAATTTATATCAAGCAGGAGGCTGAATATCTAGTTCAGATAAACGAGAAACTACAGACTGACAAATTTCACCAGCTGATCAACTGCTGCTGGTCACTGATGGAAACCATGAAAACCTGTTTCGAATAACAGCACTGTATTTATGATTTAAAAATTTCGGAACACAAATTTCCAGCAGAGTCAGTGGATCTACTGCCAGTACTGACCAGTTGAATTCGGAATATATAGCCTCTGTGACCATGGTTGAATCAGTACTTCCACCATGTCTGTGACCAGACTCCCACATCACATTCAATATCGCACGACAGTTCCCCCACCTGATTCCTCAGCAGACAGATCTTCAGCCCGGCGCAGAACCGCTCGAACGACAGCGACCCGCTGGCCGGCGTGACCTTCCGCAAGCTCTCGATGACGCCCTTCGGCAGCCCCTTCGCCTCGTCGTCCTGCCACCGGTTCTCGATCTCGGCGAAGCTGACGCACCCGGTGCGCTGGTCGTCCATGATGTCGAACAGGGTGCGCATGGCGGTCACGAACTGCTTAGGCAGCCCGTCGAGGGTCGAAGACGGCGACGACATCGTCGCTCTGTTGCGTTGCACGGTACTTGTTGCACACCGCACGGAGCGTTGTTCACTTATCAGTTGTCACTTGTTGCACTCGCTCGTTCTGTGACGTTCGCGCACTGGATACAGCGCAGCGCTGTCTTTCGCTGGTGGCGCGGAGCCTGCGACTGAGTGAGGTTAAAGACGTGGCTGGTATCCCAGGTAAAAGGTGAGCTGGTGGTACTACAGTCTAGGGCGAGCACCGTTCGAGGAGTCGAATTTAACCGAACGTAAAAAGAACAGAGCATTTCTTCGAGAGCGGGCACTTTCATACTGTAACGACCCAAGCCAGTTCACTTGGTAGAATATTTCATCATGATCAAGAGTATTGATTCATTTTGGAAGTCATTTTCTTATTTCTGATATTTGAGGATCATAGTTAGTGCTTCAGTTCATGACTCCATTGATGAGGTTTCAATTTCTATGAGTAGTTGCATTTTTTTATCAGAGGAATAAGGAACAAATCATCACGAGATCCTAAATTCTATCACTTCAACATTGCATTTTGTATCTCAGGTATGGTAAGACCTTGTTGGATACTCGATTCTGCAGTGTTGTGCTTTTATTACAACATCAGAGAGCTTGGTAAGTAATCTGAGCTTCGATTTGTATCGATTTATTCCAGCTACAAAGGCAGAAAGAGTCTGTTTTGTGGAAAAAACTCTACCAATTCACGAACGTTTGCCGCTGTCAGGCGTTCATAAATTCACTTCAAATCTGAAGTAGAACCACAGGGGCAGACTTATAAGCATGTGGAAATAGCTACCTGATCTTTGGACATCGTATGTTCAGAGCTAGAAGCCTCATACTGCAAGGGCGCACCTTGAAATGGGGCCAAAAAGGGGCCAAATCCAGGTTTGTTTCAATAAAAGAACATCAGTAACCATGGAAGTGGTCCTAGTGACAATCACAACAAACGGCTGCCCTATATATAGCAGCCCAAGCCACGATATTTTCAGAACACTTCCAACCTTCGAAGAAGTAACATCTCCAGAAATAATATAGGAAAACATGGATGATTATCAGACCTCCCTCTCCGCCGTTAGCCCAAAGGAACGGGTTGAAGAACCAGGTTCCAGTATAATATCTTATCACCTCTCAGACTTTGCCAGCTAATCAATTTCAAATAGAGTAAATTACTCACATTATGCCTTTTGTGTTATTATATAAGTATTGTATACTTCGCTGTTGCTTAACCTTGACCAGTTTATCTACGTAACTCTATATAAGTGCTTATAGATGACAATGAGTGGTCAAATTGCTCGATGGCACTGTGGGAGCGTATCCTCTACTTACTTTTATTCAAATTAACAGTAGGCATACTGACTTGGACGTCCCTGTAGTGCTGTAGCTGTGTACACCTCGGACTCATCAAGTTCACTTCAACAGGACATGTCGCAGTGACAATGGCTGCTTAACACAATGTTATCCATATTTTACCCCCTTTTGGGAAACACATTTTAATTTGTTTGTAACGTATTTCACCTTAATGTCGTTTGTTTTAAACTGGACTAAAGATATTTTTGTGGACGAATTTTCCTAACAGTCGAAATAAGCGCTCTGCTACAAATATTGAATAAATAATTTTGCACGAAATACAAATCTTCCCTTCTTTGGTATATATTCACGTGCACACAGCCCAGCAACCCCACAGATATGTAAAGGTCGTTCTTGATGATATTTTGATAGATGACTTTGGCATCATTTTGGCACTGAAAAAATTAACTTATAACTGCATGTATAGTTCCGGTAGGAAGAAAGTTATGATTTGAAAAAAAAAACGAGGTATTCTTTTTTCAACTTCAAATTCTATTTATAGAAGTGCCTGTTATTTTGAAACCTCTCATCGAAATTACATGAGAATTATTCATATATATACATAGAAGAAACAATAATAGGTATATAATTTCAATAAAAACGCATAGCACTGTCCAAATAAATGATGTTCGTCTTTGAAAAACTGGTCATAGGTATATTAATGGTTATTCATACCGATCCAAATTTGTTAAGAATCGCACGACTAATATAGCTGAGATATAGAGGGGGGGTGGGGGGTGGCGTTTATACAGTCGTGAGACACGCTATATAATTATTATAGAGTGAATGAATATAATACGAACTATCAACCTGTGTCAACTTTAATTTCAGTATGAAATAACAATAAGAACAACCGTTGTTCATTCCTCTTCTTCGAAGCCGAAGAATATGTAAACGAATCGAGATGACCAGTTGACGTTCGGGTAAATTCGCCTCCTCACATGGTGCTCACCCTAGATTCGGTAAAAGGTGAGTCGTTGGTGGTACCACGTGGTACTACGGGTTCGAAGACAGAGGCGTCACGGCTCGCCTTTGTCTGGCGGAATAGGTTGGGCTTCAGGTAGATCGTTTCGATTACGATTACCAGAGATTATTTCAATGATTGGTGGCCTAGTTAGCTGGTTGGGTATTTTAGTGCCTAGGTGATTGTTAATCATAATTGAATGGTCTGCGAGGAAAGCGCCTCGGAACCTTGAATGCTCGAAATAACTGTGTATATGTGCTTATATCACAAAAAAAATTATTTCATAATTCGATAGAACTCACCCAAACTAGCTCACCACGCAAACCGTTTCTCGCTGTGAGCTCCCTACGTTTTATAAAAAATTATTGAAATCCCCGATTTCTCGGACCTCTGAAAACGAGGCGATGATGTGACGTCAAAACCCTAATACTTTTTTTTTTTTTTTTTTGGATCTTTCTTTTATTTTATTCAGACCAGGGAAGAGTCCCTCTTATCCTGATATCTATTATGGAACAAAATAAAAACGGTATTGAAGTTTGATGCGAACAGCCCTTCTGTCCCAAATAAGTTTCAGAAATACATTCTGAGAATTGAAAGAGATCGAACGGAATAAATAAATATCAAAAACTTGAGAATAGTAAATTTGGTCATAATGTCGATATTTTCTCTAGTTTATGGACAATCTCGGTCTTTTGAACTTTGATTGATCACCTGGGTCATAATCAACTGCATTTCGAAGAAGCTGATTCTCATGAACCTCAGATTTTTCGAAAGTCTTGATGTTTCGTTCTTTAATGACTGACACAATTGATGGGAGTTTCAGATCCCTGGCGATCTGGTTATTCCGAACATACCAAGGAGATCCTGTCACCATTCTCGCGATTTTGTTTTGTAATGTTTGTAATCTGGTGATATGAGATTTAGCTGTGTGGCCCCAGACTACCGATGTATACAGTAAAATTGGCCTGATAGCCATGATGTGAATATTCAATTTTTGTCTCAAACCCAATCTACTTCGTCTGTTTAGAAATGGATACAGGGCTCCAATGGCTCGTTTAGCTTTAGAAACTTGCTGTTCAATGTGCTGGGCCCAGGTGAGCTTTTTGTCAATGCACACACCTAAGTATTTAACTTGTGAAGACCACTCTAACTCATGACCATCCAGGACTATTCTGGTTCTGGGAGGCCTCCGCTCCCTTCCGAGTGCGACCAATTGTGTTTTTGTAGGATTCAATTTGATCTTCCATCTCAGGAAGTACTCCTGAAGAGAATTCAGTGCGCTTTGGAGGTTCATAGCTGCTTGCTCGAAATTTGTCGAATATGCAAGAACTGCCGTATCATCAGCAAAAAGCGACATCTTGCACATCACTCTGGTCTTGGCAAATCGCTAGAATATAAACTGTACAACAGCGGAGATAAAACTGCACCCTGAGGAACGCCAGCTTCAATGGGCTTGATAAGAGATCGTTGATCATCAAGTTTTACTTGAAAAGTGAAGTGTAAAATGAAAATAATTCTTCTGTTCTGTGTTGGTCTGTGCAGTATGAATTCATATAGTAAGAGCATCAGAGGGTGGCCCAAAAAAACGTGACATAGGACATAGGTAACTTGTCTTTGAATTAGTTTCCATCATCATATATAATTATTATAGAGTGAATGAATATAATACGAACTATCAACTTGTGTCAACTTTAATTTCAGTATGAAATAACAATAAGAACAACCGTTGTTCATTCCTCTTCTTTGAAGCCGAAGAATATGTAAACGAATCGAGACCAGTTGGCGTTCGGGTAAATTCGCCTCCTCACATGGCGCTCGCCCTAGATTCGGTAAAAGGTGAGTCGTTGGTGGTACCACGTGGTACTACGGGTTCGAAGTCAGAGGCGTCACGGCTCGCCTTTGTCTGGCGGAATAGGTTGGGCTTCAGGTAGATCGTTTCGATTACGATTACCAGAGATTATTTCAATGATTGGTGGCCTAGTTAGCTGGTTGGGTATTTCAGTGCCTAGGTGATTGTTAATTATAATTGAATGGTCTGCGAGGAAAGCGCATCGGAACCTTGAATGCTCGAAATAACTGTGTATCAGCTTTAATGTGCTTATATCACAAAAAAAATTATTTCATAATTCGATAGAACTCACCCGAAATAGCTCACCACCGCAAACCGTTTCTTGCTGTGAGCTCCCTACGTTTTATAAAAAATTATTGAAATCCCCGATTTTTCGGACCTCTGAAAACGAGGCGATGATGTGACGTCAAAACCCTAATACTGAAACAAGACTATTCCAGACAGAGATGAATGATACATGATTTCTGACAGAGTGAATTAGCGCGAGATCACAGTTGAAAGAATTAATATATCAGTTGCCTCAGTCTCCGTCGGGCGTTTGGTATTTTCTTTCAACTATAGCAAGATGAGGTTTCTACGTCATAAAAGGGTCCGTTTTCAGAAGGTACTATTATTTATGTATACAAAAATAAAACATTCCATTTAATTTTTCGATCGAATTATGTCATCAATCATTATTTATGTATAAAATGATCATTATAAACATATGGTTTGAGTTAAAAGTTTTACTAAGGTGTACACGCCCATTGGCAGGGACATGCTTAGGCTGTGTTCCGAACTCAACTGACACTACTGAATCTGCTGATTTTCAATTCCGAAATCGAAAAAATTCACTAAAAGTGACAGAGAACTGTGCACAGACATAGTATATTCATTCTAAATATCTCGACTCAACATTCTGCTGAAATTGCTGATTGTCAAAAGGTATAGTGTCTTCAGTGAACTGTCATTATTTTAGAAGGAGAAGGAATGTCCTTGTTCACCACAACGT